AATTTTTAATTTGTTAACTTTTAATTTTTTTAATTTTTTTAATCATTATGGCTATGTTAAATCATGACAATAATTAATTTTAAATTGTTTATTTGTATTCGAAAAACTTAAAATATTGCTTTTAAAAATAATTTTAAATTTAACATAATGTTTTAGAAAATTATTTTTTAAAAATATAATTTTTAAAAAATATAATTTTCTAATATTATTAGACAAATAAATAAATTATATTAAATTAGTTTAGAAACTTTATATATTTTAATTGCAAATATTTTACCAATTACTTCTTTAAAAACATTAGGGAACTTGCTATACTCTACCAATCAAGTCCAGTAACACTCCATTTATTTTCCCTCACTCGAACACTGAAAAGTAAAAAGATATATGAAATCAGATCCATTAAATTCTAAGATTTGATTTACATTTCTAATTAAAATTGTTTTTGATCATACGTATAGATAATTATATAAAAATTCCAAAATTCTAAAATTTCAAATACATACAAAAACAATCATATGTAAATTTCAAATTTGTGAATATTAAAATTTTATATTTTAATTACATATATTCACTCTGCGCCTTGCGAGGTCTTATCCTAGTTGTATGTAACCAGCACCAAAACGAAAGAAGAGAACTTTGTATTATGGTGAGATTAAAAACACTAATGCTTTTGGTTAGTTTCTAATTGTCAATAATAAAATCATAATACACAAATGCATAATGGAAACAATGACGTCGTCACTGAGGAGGTTGTTGGTCGGCTGGGGCTAGTGGCTCACCGTCGTTGGGGATCCAGAAAGTGAGAACCGTAGAAGCAGCAACAAACATTGCTCTACGAGGTGCCCATTTCAGACACGACACTACCCCTATGTTGTTCTCCCACCTCGCCACCTGCTTTTTTTTGGACTGAATTTAGATACTGTGCGCAATGATAAGGCAAAAAGAAGCAGATCTTAGTGGTGTTTGAGTGTTCGCATTTACCTCAGATGGGTTCTCGATGTTCCACGCGTGTAAGGTTCCATCTCCTGAACCTGTATCCGAATAAAAAACAACACTAACTGTGAGTTAAGCTGGTTGGATTTGGATGTTGTGAAGATGAGTCATGGACAACAGATAATCTTTGCATCATTCGGTAAAATGTGTGATGACCCTTATTACCTGAGAGAACATACTTCCCGTCCGGTGTGAAGGTGGCTTCTATGGATGTACCCTGTGAAGCCTCCAAACTAAAACCACATTTCTGCAGACCGAAAGAAATTTTTTAGCATACCGGCTTTTTACCAACCTAGACCTGATGTTCTTGAAGTGAAAAGATACTTAAAATATGATTTTACCTTCTCTCCACGATATGCATCGAGAACGTAGATATTGTTATTTGTAGTTGTAAGGAGCATGGATTTCCCATCGTTGCTGAATTTAATATCGTTAACCTCAGCAGTATCCCCACCCACCAGAAATGTATCAAATGGACCCTACAGAAGAGATAAAAAATTGGTTTTAAGAAGTTAAAACTATAAGAGAATCTGTGTTAATAGTAAACTAGCTAACCTTGTCATAACATCGGGAATCAAATAACTTAACAGCACCTCCTTCCATTGCAATAGCAAACACAAGGCCTTGTTGGTCATAGGCAACGGCAGGTCTTCCACGTAGATGTAGAATTCCCTATTAGACTAAAAAGGGTAAGCATATATCATGAAACCATATACACACTCACAAAGAAGCTACTAAGGAAGGGATCCTAAATCGAGAAAACTTTGTTTCTAAATGTTATAGCATCTTCATGAAATTAAGAAAGATCAGTTTCCATATTAAAAAATTGTGGCATACTCAGACCTATTCCCTATAGAGATTCGTAGAGAGTTTGTGAAACCAACCTGGCAGGCATTGACACGAAGATCCCAGAGTCTGACACTTCGGTCGAGAGAACCAGACATGAAGCTATCATTTATAGGCGACATACAAAGCGATACAACCCTGAAAGCAGAATAACATTTTACATCAATGCACATAGTAGTAGTTTAATAAGCAAATTCACACATATAATCCAATCTCAGACCTGTCTTTGTGACCTTTAAAGTAGCGAAGGATCCGATTATCATACATTGAGAGATATCTCAAGGATTCTGGTACATGAAAAGATTATCAAAGTAAGTTCTTATCCACCATCCATTATGAATATTAAATCTTAAGCAAGTGCAAAGGAAGAGGATTCACCACCAGTGGAGTCCAAGTTGTAAAGAGAAGAGCAAATAAGAGAGCTTGGATGATGTGTAAAACATACACGATCGGTGCCATGTTTCTTGTGGTATGTTATCTTCACCTGTCTACACATTTATTTTTTTAAAAGAACATGAATACAAACTTTAATCAGATGAAATTAAAAACATGAACTGTAACTAATCTATGAAGCTATAACATGATTGGCTCGCTAAACGCTAATTAGTAAACCCTAAAATGGGAGGAATAAACAGACTTGGCGTTGGCGATATCGAAGAGGCGAAGTGAATCATCCTCGCTGGATGTAACAAGTAGATCATCTGTCCTGTGGAACCCCACCGAACGTATCTTCCCTCCCTGTAATAAAATTTAAATGGATTAATCTCGGAAAAAAACTGGATTTTGGGGAAAAGTTAATCAGATAATAAAAAAAATCATAAAAGAAACGTACGAAATCAGAGAAGACTGCTCCGATGGCCATCTTGCGTACAAGTCCGTCGTCTAGCTCCTTCAATGACATCTTCACGATGAACAAGCTGTGAAGCAGGGAGAGAGGCAAGGGAGAGGAGGGCAAACAAAGCTATATTCGCGGGGGTCTGTAGTAGACGAAAAAGCAGTATCGAGAGCTTAGAAAAGTGGTAACAGAAGAAACTAGCGAATGAGTGAGAACAAACATATCACGGCCCACTTAAACAGTTCGTAAAGCCCAATGGGTTTGGCAACTATTAGAATTTACTACAGTGGCAATAAAATGGAATTGTTAAACCAAAAATGATCAAACTTCATCATTGCTTGCAAATTAGAATCGGTTTAAAACTGCGATTACTGGGGTCGATTATGGGCGGCGACGAACGTGAGCACAAATAGCAAGCTATTTTCGATTGGCTCACCCCTAAAATAAAATTGAATCGAATGGGTCACAGATACTACACTCGGTTGATCTTTAGACCATGTGCATCAAAGAATCAAGGGAGAGGATCACACGCATCCCCAAAAAATAAAAAATAAAAAAATCTAACAGTGTTGAACCCGGATCGCGACAGCCCTTCCCCATGAACCCGGATCACAACTGTTCAGTAGTCCCCACGCCATGTGGCGACCCGCTATTAGTCAGTTTAATTTGAATTGTTAAACCAAAAATGATCAAACTTCATTCCGAGAAAAGTTTTAGCCTTGATTCCGAGAAAAGTTTTGCTTCACACAGCAAAGAAAAGCAGGCATTTGTGTTGCTTTACTCTTCCGATGTGGGACTAGTTAAATGTGGGACTAGTTAGCTAATATAATAACTCAGTTTAATTTATGTTATCTTTAGTTTTTTTTTTTGGGTAAAATTATGTTATCTTTAGTTAAAATCAGATGTTGTCGTTGACAATGTTTTCTAGCCATATAACAAAAGTTTGAGCTTATGGATTGTTAGAGTTGATCTCATATGAGACAACCCTCCAAAAATAGGCGTATGCCGCTTGGCACGACAAGCACACGGTATTCTTTAGTAAAAGGCGAAAGAATAGTTCGCTATGGGCTTATCGCACGGCTCCGTGAGCTCTCATCAAAGGCTCTCTTCATGTTATATGTGTTTAGCTCTCGATATCTTGCTCTGTATATTTACGATGTGGGACTACAAAGCTATGCAAAAAAATATCTGTGCTCCTTTTTTCCGGTTCCCCTTTTTGTAGTTGTGAAGTCACTTGGATCTAAATTTAGAATTCACGAGGGTAGGGACGATAAAAATCACATATTAGTACAAAACTTTGCTTTGTACTAGGCTACTAGCAGAGAAGTACAATGTCGACATTTCTTGTACTACAGTTTCCTGTGGTATTATTGTGTGTACTACCCAATCCTTTCGTCATGTGTGTATTTATAGTTCCCATTGGAACCGAATCTCAAATTGTAATAAAATCAATTATTGCTGATTTGAAGAGAGGAATATCTCCAAGGTAGAGGATCTCGACAGGGTCGATATGAGAACACATGTGCAGTCAACGGCTGTAATGACGCCACGTCATTATCTCAGATCTTTCTTTTCATGTGTTCTCAGGTCACCCCTGCTGAGCTCTTTCTCTACTGTCCCATCTTATGAATGCTCGCTGGCTTCAATCATTCGCCAAATGGTAAGTTTCTATGTAGATTCCATCTTTGTAGTGTTACAAATTACAAGTACAAACGTAATAACTCTTTGTAATCTTACATACCTATGTATAGTATATGATTTTGAATGGTCAAAGGATCTACTACGTTAACTGTCTTGATCTTTGTCCCTCAACAAGATAGACTGCCAAAGAAACAGATGAAGAAAGAAACCCACAGAGTTCCATCAAAATGTTTGTGATTATAGTTCTTAGCTTCAGCGATAAATGTTAATAGAAAGCTAACCTCACGGAGGAGGCGGAGAGCGGCGGGACGAGTGAACTTCCGCGCAAAGAGGAAACACGGTGCCGGTTTCCCTTTACTAGTACACCATTCTCGCCGGTATTCAGTCTCATAGTTGATATTGTCGATTCCCTATGAATCAATGTCTTTAGTTTTTTTCTCCTTTTAAGTTTGTAAAACAATTTAAACCATAGCAAGATAAACGGATGTACATATTGTGATGGAAATTTTCAGTTATGCCAATTCTAATGTTGCTCAACACTCTTAAGATGTGATATGATAAGAATAGTTAATTTATGGCCAGCTTAAGTAACCGGAATTACAGAAAACCAAACCAAATTACTACTAATGAGTCTGTGATGTGATACCATAACCAAACAACAGTCCTAAGATGTGATATAATAATCAAACCAAACAACTGTCCTAAGATGTGACATTATAACCAAACCAAATAACAATCCTAAGATGTGATATCATAACATCACTTAATTTGCCTTTCAATTTGGTAAGTCCTTACTAAACCACAACTATACTGAAATTCCATAACCCTAACCAAACCGAATTAAATCGGTTTTAGCTGGGCTTACCCGATATTCAGAATTAATCAAACTGAACTACACCCAAAACCGAATGCCGTGACCTAACCAAAAATCTGAATTCCACGTCTATCTTTCAGTAGATAAGTGATTAGGATATGTACCTTAATAGACTGTATAAGCTGAGGAGTAGCATCGGAAAACTTGTAAGTCATAGGATGCCATCCACGACGTTCATTACTTTTAGAGGAAGTAAGGTCCCAAGCTGAGTGTGTTAATGACCGACGTGTGAGTTCGCTATCTACACCCTTTTGCTGTATTTATGAAGCATTACCATATTTGATTAAATGTACCATTAACTTCTAATACTATGCATATGTTTGGATCAAACATTAATCTTACAGCTAGCAATGTCTGAACGTAGTGCTCATCAGGTATACAGTTGTGCTCCTTCCAACCTTCAGCTGGCTAAACAACAGGACTACATTAGTACAACAAACAGTCTTCTGGTCAAATATCAAACCCGACTTGAGTGGCAGATTAGATACCCTGAAACTACAGACTAAGAAACTGTAACTGTGTCGTGTTTAACTATGTGAGAGGAGAAACTTACTACAGGACGATCTCGCCAAAACTCTGGAAGTGATTTCCGCTGCAAGATCATAGACAAAAAAAATCATGTGGAAAGACGATGACCAGTTCACTAACAAAGCAACTGTCACGCTGACACCCATTTCTAATATCAGTGGTTCTAAGCCGCTCTTACCATCTAAACCATCTTTATAGTATCATACAAGAGACAGCTCATCAAATTAATAGTAGAATTTTAAGTTGCCTAATGAAGTGAAGGTTTCAACAACTTACCCTGCAATGATGCTGAAACATAGGCAAGACAATTGTATCGTTCACCACAATTTCTGCGTGTTTTCTATTCAGAACGACCCACTACAAGAATATATCATAAGGAAAACAGAGCAAAGTGTACGTCAGCGAAACTGCACATGAGTAAGAATCCAAACTACTATACAGTAGTAAACATGGGAACTTCACCTGTGATCCTTTTCTCCAGTTATGAACATTAATTACGGGATTCATTCTGGGATTATAACGCTTATCTTTCGTATCTGCAAAACTGCAATAAAAACAAAAAATTGGTGAAACTTCCAACACAAACATTTTTTCCTCGTCCGTGTCTAAGCTGTGAAATATGAAGCTCTGTATATATATATATCAATTCTCTATAAGAGAGGGAGCACAGACCTATCAACGAAACTAGTTGGTGTTGACATGATGTAGTTATACGTGTAGCTGAAACTGTACAGAGGTATGCAGCTGAGAAGAACACAAAAACAACAGAAATTTAGTCAGGCATGTCATAAACTGCAAGCATATACAATAATTAAACTCACCTATCAGAAAGAAAAACAAAGCGGTGATTAAAAGGATCTTTAAGTGCATGTCTAAGCAATACACGCTCTGCTTCAATCATGGTTGCTTCTCCCCACTCTACCTATAAAATCAACAAGTGAATCAACAAAACGCTGGTAATGATTTTGAAACATTGTGTGATAGGACGAACCTGTATACTGTCATTAACTTGGCGATTCAAGAAGTACTTGGACTGAGTAGTAGCCTCACTAAGTACGAATCCAGGTCTAGAGTGAACATATATCGAGAACTTTCCATCCTCACCCTTGCAAAACAAAACATATAATCATAAATCCAGCCTTATAGTTTATGAATCCAATTAGTGTATACCAGAAAGAATGAATCCCAGACGAACTCGAGAGAGAGACGATTCCGAGCAATGAAGAGGAAAGCAATCTGAGGTTTCTGATCGATACGAGGTTTAAGCGAAGCGGCGATTCCGTTGAAACGAGCTTGGAAGTATACGAAGCTTCCCAAGCAGAAAGCAAACATCAACGTGGCGAATAGTTTCCTCTTCCATCTGGTTATTAGCTTCTTCTGCGATGACGCCTTCTTCTTCATTATTATGATCTCTCAGTAAAATCGCGAATAATTCGATTTTCCCGCCATTGAGTCCGTTAGAAAACGGTTTACATACGCAGAGTCAAATCTCTCTTTCTATATTTATCTGGCTCGAGTTTGTATCTCGTTTAGCTCAAAGCTTTCTCGATCTATGGAGCGGAATCAGATCGAATATGGACGAATCATCTTCGAAATCAGTGAGAGATACCGGTTGATTGAAGCGGACTCCAAGGAGAGGATGGCGTTGAAGGCAAGGGAGAGGGAGAGCGAGAGAAGCTTGTGATCGGGGGAACAAAAATCACGTGAAGGAAGACGACCTTTGAGGAGGAGGAGACTTGGAGAGTGAGAAAGAAGAGAAGAGAAGCATGTGAGGTGTGAGTGAGTGAATGAGTAGAGAGCTGGTGAGGTGGTGGGCCTTTGTTTGGTATCGTGAAGCCTACTCTTTAACCGAATAAGTGAGGCCCGGTCCAGTTGATACCTGTCATTTTATTATTCTCTATATTTGTCGGCTATTAATAGGGTTACAACATGTATCATTCGGATTTATATGTATAATAAACCAAAATAAATAAACATGTATCTATAACATTAATTGATAAGTAAATTTGATTAGTTGTCAACTTCTCCATGATTTTAGGTTATTTTGCTTATTTTCATGTTTTAATAATATATTTGTATTAGATTGTTATCTTAAAAATATATTTTCAATTATAAAATTTAAGTGAATTTTCTGATTAATTTGTAACTTTCACGTTGAAAGTTAGAGCGGTTAATATCGTTTATATCGTTAATGAATAATTAATTTTTTTAATATAATTAAACATAAATAAAAATGAATTTCAATGATTTTAGATTTATATTTATCTAAAACTATTTTATATTGGGTTATAAAGTCTTTATTAACCTTGAAAATAGTTATATTAGTTAATATATAATTAATTATAAATTAAAAACAAATCATTTATTTGATAATTATCCTTATTTTATTTTTTATATTATGGGATAAATTCTTTATTTTGAAAAATAATTATATTTGTTAACATATAATTAATTCTAAATTAAAAAAAAACGAATCTCATGAATTTGATAATTATCTATACCTAACTTTTTTATATTGTGTTATAAAGGCTTTATTAACGTTGAAAAATAATTCTATTGGTTAATATATAGTTAATTATGAAAAATCAATCTGCAAAGAATTTATGTATAGATAATTTATATTGTGTTATCCAAAACATTATTAAAGATAATTCTTTATACTTTTTTGTTATGTCTAAACATGATATTAATTTATTACTAAATGTTTTAAGTTCATGAGTATTTTCAAATATAAGTTGTCTAATGAAAATTATTTATATGATGATGAAAAATTTTATATATAGAAAGAATTTGTTTAGTTTATTATTAAATATTTTGAGTCTATGAACTATAATTTATTATAATTTACATAAATTGATTATATATTTATTTATAGATATTAGTGAAATTACTAAGCCCGCAAGTGCGGGCAAAACACCTAGTAAATAGAAAAAAAAAAAACAGATTACAACATACCTAACATGTATAGCTTTTTCTAAAGAAATATAAAATAGAGCAACAAGAAAATTGTGGATGTGTTTAGATTCAAATAAACACTAGATCTCAACCCGCACTATTAATACGAAAATATTTGAAATTATATAATATTCACTCCATTTCAAATTAGATGATGTTTTAAAATATTTTAATTTATTTCAAAATATAAGATTTTTTGGAATTTTAAGATATATTTTGAGGTTTTAAGGTTATCTTTAACTTTATTAGAAAATGTTCAACCAATAAAAATTTACTGTTTTTTAATAATTGGTTGAAAGTTTTCTTTAAAAATATTTTTGTAGAAGAATGTAAATTTTTAACAATAATCCAAAACATTATATATTAAGAAATGGAGAGAGTAAAATTTATCAATAAATAAATATAATTTGATTCTGTATACTATCCAATTTTATAATAATATTTATGTAGCTTATGATATTATTAATATAAAATTTATAAATTTGTATTATTTTTAAAAACATTATTATGTAACATTATTAATTTATATATTTTTTATTTCTAAATTTGATATATATATATATATATATAATAAATTAAGTTGGACCTACATAATACATAAACAAAATTTGTGGATATTGTTAAAAGTATTTTACATAATTTTAGTTTTTTTTGTTTATAAAGAAAAAATGAATTAAAATTTGATTCTATTTTGTGATAATTAAATTTTAATCAAATAATTTTTGAAACTATATCTTAAAAATATTCTAAAAGATTTGTTAAAATTTTCTGAAAACTATTTATTTATATTTCAAATAAAAATTAAAGATATAAAAGATATTATAATGATGTTATGTAAAATTTTATAAAATTTTTAAAAATAATGTAAACTAAAAAATAACACAAAATAATTTCAAAAAAATCACACATAATAAATCACACATAAAATAATGACAAAAAAATCACACATAAAATAATGACGTGTCTTTTAATATAATAGATTGATAAATTCATACACATCCTTGTCAATGATTGTAATTCCGTCATGTTTACAAGGGAAGAGCGTCACCCTCTCCTAAATACCCTCTGAAAATCCGTGATAAACATCCTTTTTATTTGATTTTTTTTTGCTTGATGTTCAAACAAAAAGTTAGTTTATATTTGCTAAAAATAGTATAGAGACAAAACGATACGCCAACAATCACCGGTCTGGTTCCAATTCCAATTCCTCCTCGATCCTACTCTCCAGTTCTCATAACTAAGTCGAACCAAGGCCAAACTACATGACTACTCAGTCTACTCAGCCCTGCAAGAACAGCCAAACACACATAGATAGTCACACTAATCCTTTGATAAACCATTTCAAACAAAACTCTCGAGTGATCACTCGGGTTAAAGCAACTTATAAAGGAAAAAAGGTTTACCATTAAACATCCTCTTCATCAACCAAAGCCATCACAGGGATTCCTTTACTACTAAAACTAGTACATTTCACCTGCAATGTGTCTCCAATCCCAAACTCTGTCTCTCCATCGCCCTGTACTCATATATAATAATAGTAAGCAAACAATACAATACAATGCAAGCACATTTAAGTATGTGGGGAGGAACGGAGTCAAAGATGATGCTCTTTAACATACCTCGAATTTGTACATCCCGCGGATTCCACCACCTAAATCAAGAACCAGTCCATGTGTTCGAACCTGGTGAACTTTAGCTGTCATTTCTGTTCCGATCTTCAGTTTCCGGGCACTCATTGAAGGACTCTCTTCAGCTTCGCTCTCTGATTGTTTCTCCTTCCTAGAAGGTTTCTTACCTTTTAAAGATGATGCCATGTTAGAATCATCATAAACAATTGAAGCAGTAGAAGTGGATTTGAGTTTCTCGTCTTGCGTTGGTGTCTCACCAAAGTTATCCAGAGTTTCTTCTGTAGGAGTGGATTTGAGTGTCTCCTCTTCCTTCTCTGTCACAGTCTGAGAAGATTTGGGTTTCCGGTCTGGCTTCTTTGTCGCAGCGCGTTTAGGTTTAGCGTTCTTGTCCACATGAGAAGATTTCTCTGCCTCTTCACACTCCACAGCAGTACGGATGACAACTGCAGGTACAGCTAATTTCGATTTCTGAGGTGGCTCCACGACACTGGGCAGGCTTGCAACTGTCTCTCCAAAACTAGACGTTTCTACAGAGACTGTCTCTTTCACCACCGGGCTTTTTTCAGGACAAGATCTTGGTTTGGGTAACAGTGCTTTGAGAGATAGCTTTATGTTACCACGGACATCGGTGTCAATGCACTGCATAGTGATGTACTTGCCAATATGTAATACATCTGAAACCTTGGAGACCTGGAATAGCAACAAATGAAAAACTCTGAGATTGTCGTTCTAATTTGAATAAACCAAACAGTATCAATCTTCCAGATGAACTCAAAGAAAACCATATTTTCATGGAAATTAAGCGATCACAGTTTATAACTAGAAGAGCTTACTGGTTCATGAGATAACTCAGACATATGTAGTAGGCCTTGTTGACCACCATTGAACTCAACAAATGCGCCGTACTCTTTTATAGATGTCACTGTGCCTTTGTACACGCCACCAACAACTATTTCGCGACCAATAATGTAGTCAACCTAAGGACATGCATGCATAAATTCAAGTCTCTGGGACATCGCCTATCAATCAAAAGCTCATTTGACTAAAAGATACCTTTTCTTGAACCTTATCCATCACAGCCTGATTCTTGGCAACAATAGTTAGTGTTCCATCATCAATTGACAACCTTGCACCTATTTAATAAACTTATTTATCAGAAGAAAAGCTTCAAACTAAACTTATATAAAAGAGTGGATATTATTCATAAGCTTCTGGATTTCATTTTAAAGAGTATTTTATTTAAACCATCAGACTCTTTCACTTCAACATGAGTTCGTCAATTCAATAGTGTTAAAAGTACACAAGAAATTAAAATGACGATTGGAGTCGATATCAAAATAATAACCTGTTTCCTCTTCAATCTTCCTCTTGAGGGCACCCATAGGTCCGATCAAGCTACGAAGTGCATCGTTGGTGTACTTCAAAGTTGCTGCAAAATAGACATAACTCTTTAGTTTTTAACAGGGAATAATTTATTAGCTAAGGTCAACCGAAAAACAAGTGAGAAAGAAACCTAGCCGAGGGGAATTAGTCCCATCCTGGTCTCGTGGGAAACTAATTTCTCTCTCAATATGGTCAAGAATCTGAAGACGGGCTTTACGTGCATTTTCTAAGGCTTCACAAACTATGTCTAATGGTATTCCAGCTGGCTTGATATCCAGTTGACTTGCCGTCACACCATTTCTTGTGCCGGCAATCTTGAAATCCATATCTCCTAGATGATCTTCCAAACCCTATAAAACCAATGAATGTATCTCCATAAATTCCAATTCACCAACTTGGTACAACCAATGTTTTAGAAGCCAAAGATAAATCATCATAAGAAGCACAAAAGAAAATGTAAAACCAGGAATAGTATTGATACATTAGCCTATTATATAAATACTCAACTGCCACACGGATTAACCACATAATAAACAAGAGGAAAGAAAAAACAGCAAAGTAAACAAGAAGAAACCCACCAATATATCGGTTACTATACGGTAGTCTTTAATTTCTCCACTTGATGGATCAACGTCAGTGACTAGACCAACGGAGACCCCTGCAACATGAGCCTTCAGAGGAATTCCGGCATCCATTAACGCCATGCTGCCTGAGACAAAAACCATTCAATATGAACTTTTATGGCTTTGCAATAAACATACAAACTTGTGGGTGGAAGAGAATGATTACCTCCACAAACGCTTGCCATAGACGTGGAGCCATCTGAAGCCATAACTTCTGAATTTATACGAACTGTATAAGGGAAATCCTCTTCAGGGGGCATGACAGCAAGCAATGCTTTTTCAGCAAGTGTTCCTACAGAAAATGTAAAACACATTTAAGCACACGAAAATCTTTTAGACAAAGAAAACACTAATATGTCTAGGACAATTAAAACTCTACGAATTGGATAAGAATATGGACCCACTGTTCCAGTAGAAGCTAAAAAGGAAGTTGATATCGCCAACGACATAAAAAGAGAAAGGCCAAAATATACCATGACCAACTTCACGCCGGTTAAGGCCTAGTTTTTTTCCAACTTCATCTGTACAAAACGGAGGAAAGGTGTAGTGAAGCATAAATCTCTTCTTTGGTGGGCCAACAATGGAATCCAATCTTTGTGCCTCTCCTGGGGCGCCAAGTGTGATAGTACAAAGCACCTTTAACACATACGAAACGTATTTAAGAAGGATTTTTCATTAAATATATTGAACTCTATGCTTCAGTCCTATAACTTCTGAAGCAACCAAAAACTTCTCTACGCGTGTCTCTAGCAACTGAAATTTCAGCACGAACCTGAGTTTCTCCACGTGAGAAAAGTGCTGACCCATGCAATGCAGGTAGGAGATGCGATTCACAATAGATGGGCCTAACTTCATCAAGATGTCTCCCGTCGACCCGAAATCCGTCTGATATCATCCTTGAACGAACTATCTGATATTTCATTTAACACGTTAGTTGTACCCTTTTATGCAATCGCTTAAAGTCTTAAACAATAAGATTTCTATTTAAATGCTAATTTTTCAAAGATTACCTTCTTTCTCACTGTATCAACAGCCTTTGGAAGTATGCTCAAGCTTTCTTGATCGCCCTCTTCTTCAAATACTTTGTGCACATCGTTTCCAATGTTTTCTAGAGCCTCTCCACGCTCAAACTGTGCATATACAAAATTATCAGGGAAACTGAAACTCAAATCTGGAGGCAGAAACAAAGTCAGTACGCACCTTGCCACGTGAAGGATCGGTAAAAACGGTTTCAATACGCGTTGCAGCCAAGTCAGACACTTTTTCTAAAAGTTTCTCAGAAAGCATGGACAATTTATACTCCTTCTTCTGTTTCCCAGCTTTCGCTGCCAGTCTAATTTGAGGATCGATGTACTTAACAGCCTGTAACGAATATACACACACACACACACATAAATAAGACTACATATACTATTTCACAATACTAGATAATCCAACAAAGCCGTCAAACATACCTCTGGGTGAGCTAGTCTCAGAGCAGCTGCAAGATCTTTCTCAGTGATTTCACGAGCTTGAACATCAATCATCATAGTTTTATCTCTTGTGCAAGCGTATATCAAATGAAGATCACTTGAGTTAAGCTACACAAGGTTTGACAACAAATGAGAAAGAGGCCACACAATCTGTGAAATCAGAGAATATACCAATACAAAGATATTCTTTTACCTCATCCACAGTTGGATTCACAACAATCCGCCCACCTACCCTTCCTAATCGAATAACTCCAATAGGTCCTCCCCACGGAACATCCGATAGCATAAGCGCAGCCGATGCTGCATTAGCTGCAAGTATATCTGGATCCTGCTTACCATCTGATGACAAAACATTTGCCATTATCTGCAACATGAACAAAAATTCACAAATGAAAATACTTCCACATAAATCCATTTCCTAACGAAATTAAAATAAAAAAATCATACCTGAACCTCATGGTAAAAACCAGAAGGAAACAACGGTCTAATTGGCCTATCAATAAGCCGCCCACATAAAAGTTCCCTCTCTTTAGGCGCACCTTCTCTTCTCATATACGTATTTGGAATCAAACCTTGAGCAAACAGCTTCTCTTGATAATCAACCTAACGACACATATTACACAACAAAACATCCATTTTAAACAGAAACAACTATTTAAAATAACAAAACTTCTCATTGTCACATCACTGAGTCCCACAAACATCATAAAGGTACAAACTTTCTCTACAAAATTCGAAATTAACGAAAAAGGGGTTTTTGTAACATACCGTGAGAGGCAAGAAATCACGAGGCGAATCAGTCTTAGCACAAGTAACGGTGGTGAGAACTTTAGTCTCGTCGATTCCAAGCACTACGGAACCATTTGCAAACCGAGCGATCTTCCCCGTCTCGAGCGTGACAACGCGAGATCCGACTTCGAATTCCTCCTTGAACGATTCGAGAACTTTGATCCCCGCGGAGGAGGCCGGCGAGCTAGACGGCGCGAGGGAGAAGCCGCCGGAGGAGCAGATTGTGCGGAAACCTAAAGCACGCCATGCGAGGAAGTTGGGGAGAGAGGATGACCTAGCTCGTCTCACGATCGATGACATTTCAGAGAGAGAGAGAGAAGGAGAAGAGAAAGGGGTTAAGCGAAGGTTTAACAACACCGGTGGATAGTGACTGGAGACGTTAGTGAGATCGAGAAGAAGGGTTTTAGCGATTCCGGTTCGGTACGGTTAAGATGCAATTGAAATTTTCTTAATATTGAACCGGAATGTTGTTAATTCGGTGGAGAACCGTATAGATTATTTTAGTGGGCCTAAATTGAAACTTAACGAAACGGCCCATTTAAGCTATTAAACAAAACCGGATAGGCTCGGTCGAATGTACCAAATTTTTAATTTACTCCGGTTTAGTCTTGCAATTATCCGGTTTCGAATTGGAAAAGGAAAGCGAAAACCCTACTAAAGGTTTTTTGTCTCTTTGTCTGGGTTCAGATTTGTTATTACAAATCAGAAACTCCATTGTCGTCAGCTCAAGTTCGTACCTTTGTGAGTGTCGTTTTCGCTATCGTTAACTTCTCTCCTGTTCGGTTATTGTGTTGTGAGTTCTAGTTTATTAACCGCTTGTATCAGAAAGTGTGCTTCTTTGTTGAGATTAGAGTTCTTTGGATTCGTGTAATGACGTTTTATTTCTTGCTGATTACGTCTTGTTTCCGATGCTTAGGGTTAAACATTGCTGAAGGGTATTAATAGGACATTGAACTGTTTTTTTTTCTTTTCTTTCTCTGCAGCTGATTTCTCAAGATGCTACCAACAGATTCAAACAAGGCCTTATCTTTCAAACGAGGTATTCAAGATGGAGACTTGGTTATCGTTTACGAGAGACACGACGTGATGAAACCAGTTAAAGTAACCAAAGACGGTGTCCTTCAGAACCGTTTTGGATTTTATAAACACTCTGATTGGATAGGGAAGCCGTTAGGGACCAAAGTGTTCAGCAACAAGGGTAAATTTGTCTACCTCTTGGCTCCCACTCCAGAGCTCTGGACGCTGGTGTTAAGCCACAGGACTCAGATTCTTTACATTGCGGATATCAGCTTTGTGGTTATGTATCTAGAAGTTGTGCCTGGTTGTGTTGTTCTTGAGTCTGGTACAGGGAGTGGTTCGCTTTCTACTTCACTTGCTCGTGCTGTGGCTCCAACAGGGCATGTGTATTCTTTTGATTACCACGAGCAACGAGCTGCTTGTGCAAGGTAGGTAGAAAGCTTGTGTTCTTTGTGTGAAGTACTTTTTTTGTTTGGGTTCTTAGTTTTTGGTTTTTATAACAGGGAGGATTTTGAGATGACGGGTATTAGTAGTTTAGTAACTGTGGAGGTTAGAGATATTCAAGGACAAGGTTTCCCTGAGAAACTATCTGGTTTGGCTGATTCAGTGTTTCTAGATCTTCCACAGCCTTGGCTCGCTGTTCCTTCTGCAGCTAAGATGTTGAAGGAGGATGGTGTTCTCTGCTCTTTCTCTCCTTGCATTGAGCAAGTACAACGCACTTGTGAAGTCCTCAGATCAGATTTCATTGGTAAGTTTATCCTATTTCCATTTTTTTTATTGTGGAAGTAAGTTCTTGTAAGGATCTTAGAATCACACTAGTGACTGTGGGAGGAAACCTCTTATTAACCATGTCTTGTAGACTAAAGCTATGTGCTTCTGTAGATAAGCTTATTTATCTATAAAACTTACTTGTTAATTGTCATAAGCAGATGTGAGTTTCATTTTTTATCTCATTGTGATGTGTTTTGAGTTTTGTAGAGATAAGAACGTTTGAGGTGCTTCTGAGAACATACGAAGTGAAGGAAATGAAAGTGGAGACTGTTGCTGTGATTGGTGAGAGCCAAGACGAGGAGGACAATGGAGGACCGAGACCAAGCAAGAGGAAGCACCTTTCAAACAACGGCGACTACGCAGTTTCACATGACAACTCTTCTAATGCCACTTCGGTGGTTATGGCTAGGCCATGTAGCGAGGCAAGAGGTCACACCGGCTACTTAACCTTCGCAAGACTCCAGTGCCTATCTTAGATACCTCATTATTTGATCACGATGTTACTTTTTTTGTTTGTTGTGATTTTGCTTGTTGTAATGCAAATCTTGAATTTTCAATTTTGGTAATGAAAAAAACAGATCTCTACTTCAGAAGCTTTGTTGTTTTAAATGTTCTTTTGCAGAAATCTCAATGAGTTAGCGTAAGAAATAGTCAATGACCAAAGATAGATTCATTTTGTAATCTAATTAGTTAGGTTATAGTATTAAAGAAACATTATTTTGTAACTGAATTATTAATCTAAATATTGAATACTCAATGACATTATGTAATTATTTAAAGCTGAGAAAATATCATAGAGTTCTCCTCAAGAGCTACAACGTAAGAACAAACCAAGGAGCACAAAGTTACTTGGGTTCTAAGAAGTATCTCCAACTCCACCACCTGGATAAGAGGTCTTTTACTAGCACTATTATTTTAAACTCACTTATCCTCAGGCGAGATGAAACTGTGTTATGATAATAAGAACATTCAACCTAGGATCTTCTCATTTCCTTCGTTGTCTCACGAACCACCTCCAGAATCCGACAATACTCAAAAAACAAGCAAGATTGCTCACCTTCGAGACCACTCCTGCTCACTCTGTTCCCACCAGCGAGATTATTGCAGGGACTACCTCCAATCACTAGATCAAACCCACCAAACTTCTTCATCAACTCTTTGATTTTCTCGTTACTTAATTCCTGGACGTCTGCAAACTCTATTAGCTTTCCTTTCTGGTTAGTCTGCTCCCAGAAGTCTTTGAGGATGTTCCTGTTCACTAATGAGATCTCCACTGACACAACTGTCTTCATTGGGATCTGGAGACGGTGGAGGGCCACTTCTCCACCGCCAATACCCGTGAACAAGGAGAGGACGTTGATACCAAATGGAAATAATGGTTTCAGGACAGAGAGGTGATACGCAACAGTATCCACCTGAAAACAAGTTCATCACAAAACCCATTCAAACGATATCCAAAACGCATCATTAAAAGGACAAGAACGATCAAGAACTACTCTGAGTGCTGATACTAAAACAGTTTCCAAACTACGAAACTTGGTACACGTATAAAGGACAAGACAAGAGCGATCAAACTATAACCAAAACGCATGATGAAAAGGACAAGAGCGATCAAGAGCTAAAACAGTTATGTTATGCAAATGCAAGGGAGAAAGTTACCTGAAAAGAGTTGCCCAGTGACTTCAGACGCTCTGTCCTACTCATGCCACCGCCTCGTGTATGGTTTCTTGGAAAACCAAGAAGAGTCTCCATTTCATCTGGTTCAAGTGGCGCTGCTTTGTTCTTTCCCACCCACACAAGGTTCCACTTCCTGCACTGATCAATGACATACTTCTTGGTACCCTCAGGCGGTTCTCCGGGATGAGCTTCTAGGGCTAACCGGATCCTGTTTGTTAACTGAGCACTAGCGTTGACGGTCAAGATGCAGTTTAGCTTCGTCCTCTTGTCCCATGTTGGCCACCATTTCTTCGTCAGCGGAAACGCCTCGCTAATCGTGTACTTCGGAGGAGGCTGGACCTGATACCTCCCGCTAATGGGGAGATTATGTACGTACCCTCTCTTTCTCGCTGCTGCACAGATGTACTTCGAATCAACAAACTCAGGAAGAACGTCGTACAGGTGCCTTGAGATGGTGTCCCAGACGCCCTTAGGTGCAAGAGCGACGTTCTCGTAGTAGAAATAGGGAGGGCCGTGAGCAATGGCTGGAAGCGATCTCTGTGTGATGAGTCCCGGCTCGTTTGGAACCCCAAATCCTATCATGGGATTTGGTAAACGAACCGGGTCATCATCAGCAGATGGCCTAGACTCTCTTTTTGACTCTATCCGCCTCTTCTTGGCGCTAAATCTAGGCTGCATACAGAAAATTTTCAGGATTAATGTTTCTTAATGAAAATGCAACACAAATATGTAACGCAACTAGACTGCAAATTCACTAATATTCACAAAATCAGCAACCTTTTCATGTACTTTTCAAACGAAATCACTATAAAACGGACTTTAGAGGTTTAACAATTACCTTATGTTCTTCAGGTTCAGTATGAAACTCGTCGAATTCTCGAGCTATCTGAGCGGCACAAATGAAGTCTGCGAGATCTCCAACGCTCACATTCCCTCCTGAAATTTTAATTTAAAAAATTCTGCATAAGTACTGAGAAAGAGACAGCATACGATAAATATCTGAGAGACACAGAGAGATAAACATATATAAAAAGTGTATCTGTTACTAAACAAAATCACATGCAGAAACATCCAAGGCATGTATCACATAAGCAAAGGCTAAGACTAAGATTTTACACTGATCAAATAGCATATACAAGTATGGCTTAACATAATCATGATCTATGACACAACATCTGGAAGAAACGTAAAGAAGAAAGGAAGCTTACCACATCTCTCCAGAGCCAGAGAAGCTTCCAACTCCGAGAATCCCATATCCACTAAAGACCGCAATTTACTCCCGTTTTCAGGGGAGTCTGAAACTTTCTGTCATTGTTAAAAACAGATATTTTAATAATTCATACAAGTTACAAATCTGCAAGCAACAAAGCAATACAATAGTACAATTGAATGGTGTGATGCTAAACACATGTTATTACCACCAAGAAGTAAACATACCTCATCATCTGAGCTAAGAAACTCGGCATACTTCTCATCATCACTTTCAGTCCAGTCAATGTCATCTTCTTCTTCTTTGATTGTAGGAGATATCTCTGCCTACAAACCACCAACAAAAGATAAGTTACATTATTAATGCCATGAGACAAATCTTTAAGGTACATTCTTAATGACATCATACCTTTGCAGCATCACTTACTGCAGAAGAGATGAGTGCATTTGCTATTTCTTCAATATTGTCCTCTCCTGCGAGATATAAGACAAATGTAAAGAATCATATAGAGCGTTTTACTTCTTACCTAAAAGAGAGAGAGAGAGAGAGAGAGAGAGAGAGAGATAAGTAAGTACCATGCTCATGTATAGCTTTGATAACTTTCTCCTCATCAAATCCCATCGCAAGGAAATGATCAATAGTCTTGGACTTGGAAGAACTAGGTTCAGAGTTAACCTTCACAAAGAATTATAAGAGGAATGAGAAACAGACATACAAGCAAAAGAAATGATCCAAACAAATAGAAACTCACAGTGTACTTGGAGATAGCATCAATTATCACCATAGTATCTGCATTTGGTCCTGCAAAGTTTATTAACAATCACATTATCAACAAACCTCTAAACAAACAAATGGGTTTCACATACAGATACAAACAAAGCCTCACCATGTTCCTCAATTGCTCTAGCAATATTCTCAGGGGAGAATCCCATGTCAATCAATTGAGCAAACACCTCATCGGAAGAAGTGGCTGCCAGTGGAGAAGACGGTGGAGATGACTTGTAGTTATCAATCTCGAATTCCAAATCATCATCAGTGTTCCAGTCAGTAGAATCTTGCGCCTGCATCAACATATTAGTTCACAAAAAAAAAAATTTGCTTGATGAGAGTCCACAATAGCAACAATAAAATAAAGAATGCAAGTTAATCACAATGTACCATCTTTATTGCAGCAGTAAGGTGAAGAGACTCAGAGTAAGTATCTTCGTCCTCTCAAAGAGTAAACCTACAAAATTTTCATCACAAAACTGCTAAAAATGAAAACTTTTTCTGGGGAAAGATCGAGTTTTGTACAGGAATCAGTGATAAAAGTGGTTTAGTGAGATACTAATGCATGTCCTCAAAGTTTGCGAAAGAAAGACAAGTGGTTTAAAGTAACAAACTTTGAGAATAATTTAGCACAGATCCTTAACGAAATTCTCTTCTGATTCAGTGGGGTTTATAAAAGCTTAATGGGTTTCTAAGAAAGATACAAACATAGACGGCGAGATCGAGTTTAACAGGGGAGATAAACGACGTCGAATGTACGAAATCTACGAAGATCGTGGAGTAGAGTTAAAGAGTTAATACCCAGAGAATTGTGGTCTAAGAGGAACAGAGACGCAGAAAACGCTCCCGTCGCCGGTAAAAGACTACTCTTCTTCGCCGGTGAGAGAGTCGTGTTCCGCCGTTTGTAGTCTACTAGAGAAGCATCGACATTGACAAGGATGGAAAGGATGTGAGAGCATGGAAACAAAATGCTGTCTTTTTGATCCGCTCCGTTTTATTCGGATTATGATCCGGATCCGGTTCCGCTTTGCAATTAATTTTTGGGGATCCATTCTTTTAGTGGGCTTCATATATGGGCTACTTTGGTTGAATACTAATTGGGCTTTGTGGTGGATAAATGTTATTTTATCGTTGTATCCATTTGAATATTGGCATGTGACTTTGATATGACAACCAGGGGTTGATTGGTAGACCATTAGCATAAGCATTAAGCTCTCTATTATCCAATCAACATTTAACAAAGAAACATTTAGAAAAGCATTTACCAAATGCAAATGCTCTTTAAATGCTCTTTGCCTAATGCTCTCATATAGAGTTTTGGGAGAGCATTTGCATATAGAAAATATAAAACTTAATAATATTTTTATATATAATTAATTTATTTTTGTTTGATAATATAAACAACATTTTTAAATTAAATATAAATTTATATTTTAAAAAATAAGAATAAAAATTATAATTTTTTTAAAAGAAAAATATTTCACATTTAAAATACAATATAATCTATATAGTTACATATATCATTCATTATTTTTAATAACAAACATAACATAATATAATTTATATATTATCGATATAAACATATTATTTAGACACTAATAAATGAATTATATATTAATTTTTATGATAATTTTATATATGATTCATTTAATGCTCTACCAATAAATAAATAAATAATAATAATTTATATATAATTTAATTTATATATAAATTATAATTAATTATTTTATTTAATAATATTAATATATGTTAATATCCAAAAAATAATTTAATATTTTAAAATAAATTTTACATTTTTAAATATAATTTATATAATGAATAAAATTCATTATTTTTAATAAAAATATATATTATTAATATATTATATATATTTATAATATATATATATTATTTTAAAAGAAATATATTAGTTTACAAACTATTATGACAATTTTAAAATTGTATACTGCTAATGCTCTGCCAATCACTTTATTAAAATTTTTAATGAAAGCATACAGCTTCTGCAGCATACTGTTTCTGCAGCATAATGCTACTGCTTTATCATCTGTTGTACCAATCGAGGCCTAGGTCTGTCTGATTTGAGTCAACTTCTCTTGTACCATATTCTTTTAGAGGTAATCTATTATGGGTTCGCGTGATCTCTTATACCCCTATTTCATAATTCATTTTTTGATCAAAATCTAAACCCCCAATTAAATCCTTCTCAGTGTTCAAAACTAAACAAAACCCCCCTCCAATGGATGGGTGAACCCATGGATAAATATTTAAATTCTATAGCTTTCAAATTCGAAAAAAGAAAATTTTAAAATCGTTTTTTAATCATATTTTGATGATTTTCGTGAAAACATGAAAAACACGTTTTTTGATTTTTGGAATATTTTTATCAAATTCTATAAATCAAATAAAAATATTCACGTTTCAAGTTTAATTTTATGTTTTTTCTTTTGACATATAAAATTAAAAGAAGAAATATGTCCTAGAGAGATTAGAGGTTGAAATTTAGGGGTATGAGAGGAATTGCCTCGTCTGATTTATACGGATACAAAAATTCGAAACTGACCCAAAATACATAAATCGAACCAAAAATTTATAAGTTTCTATTAGATTTAAAATTTCTCAACCGGAACCAAAAAGAATTAACTCTTACAGATCTGAAGCCCAAAAAAACCGATCCGAATAGACCCGACCCGATAAGAACCGCTTCCCGACATAAAAAAAATTATAATTCATGTATTTATATTTATATATTTTAATTTATGGTTTAGTTGAAATGTATTTTTGTTAAGAATCTTAAATATTACTTCTATAGCTTTTTTAAGTAATATGAAACTTTAATGGTAAATTTAAAGTGTAAAAATATTTAATTTCACTTATTAATAATGTAATATTAGTTATTTTTTTTTTAAAAAAAAGATAAATATGATGAATTTTGATATAAATATTTAATCTATTGTAATTATTAACTCTTTTTAGATCCTAAATACCCGAACTCGTTATAGATCCGAAAATTATAGATATGTTACATGTATTTTTAAATATAAATCTGAACCGACTCAGATCCGAGAGGAACCGACTCGAACCTAAACCAAAAATTTATAAACACCTATTGAGTCTAAATTATTTAGGATCCGAAAGATCTAGACCTGAAAGGAACCCGACCCGCCTAGGCCTAGTTACAACAAGTTGATAAGGATACGAGTTAGGAATTACTATTTTGGTTACGGCAAAAGAGTGAATTTCGTACACGATATTAGACTAAACCATCACACAAATTGGCATTACTCACAGAATTGCGTACAAATCCGTGCATGTGTACATTGATTTTAAAGTTGACAATTGAAAAACATTAGTATAAAAAATGATGTGTATTATTTATCATACACGCCTACTGCAATACAAATACATTACATTATACATAAGGAAATGCAATAAACGTTACATCAGATCACGGGTTACGATTACATAATCGTGCAATTTTCAAATGGTATGACTTACACGAGTTGTTGGGCATATACCCAAATTCTAGTATTCTACAGAGTACTAGAAAATATTGTTCATGTGACTTACAAGCTACGAGTTATGATCTCTTCCGTGAATTCCTATCCAACCATTTTTCTTTGGTAAAATCTATATAAAATAATTAAACCAACACAAATACATCACTAAACGTATACAAATTGCAACATTACCTACATCACACCTAATATAGTCGAAGATAATGAAAAAGAGGACAAGAAATCAGTTACACGACATAGAATCATTTGAGATTTCTTATATATAATCACACTTTCAACTGCCAAAGCAACATAAAATTAATAAAATAGTAACAGCATTTCAGTGAGTTAGGGGGACCAATAGGCTTTTCAAGATCATGAGATTATCAAATAGAAAACAATTCAACAAAGTTTTGTCAAAGTCAACGCATGGGATGCATACACGTAGCAACGTGCTAATCTATACTCTATAGCAGCCTATATTTTTCCACAGTTCCACCTGGGGCTGCATTGCAAAGTGTATCTTCATCACGAGTTCAATTTCATACTTTGAATCTTACTAATATACCCTAATCAAACCATAATCCCCAGATGTTGATTTATGGTTTCTTCTCTCTATAACAATAGACCAGATAACTACCGAGGATTCTATTGTCATGCCACTAATGGATCTTTGAATGTTCATGAGTTTGAAGAGAAGGGATTAATGTATTTTATTTTAGAAGATTCAATGAACACCAATAGATTTAACCTAAATTACGCTGCTTGATTTAAGGAACTCAAAATATAAAAGATTATCTTATGATGAGGTCTACGTGACATGCCTGTGATTGTATGGCAACTTTTCTTGACTCTTCACAAATCCTTTGCCTGATAAGTGGATTTTGGTTTTTGTGTAAACCGAAGAGCTTACCAAGACCAGCCCAGTACCTGAAAAGACCCGTGTGCTATGTTATAAAGTATAAACGAAAGTTATCAGATGTTTCTAGCGACTAAAGTACTGCACACAGACCTCATAGACATTTAATGAAACTTCGATAATGCTAGAGGAACATTAAGATGTTAGTAGCCATCGCCACAAACAAATTCTTAGTAACGCTGCATTATTCATGAACAATCAAAGCTAATCGTAAGTTATGTTGTCTGATGATATTTAAGAATTCTGAGTAACACGCATTATTCAAGAAAAATCAAAGCCAAATCGCAAGTAAAATGTGACGATGCGGTCAATAGAACAAGCTGATCAAGCAAGTAAACCCCATCAGCTTTTTTGCTCATTTTCCAATTAAATTAAAATATAGCAAATGAGTAGAACATGCTTGAAGAGGAAGAGAGTTCCAAAGCTTTTTGTCCTCATCTAACTGATTAACTGTATTATGGTTTTATAACTCATATGTGTAACAGTGTTTTTCTCTGCTTATAAATATGAACCTCGCTTAACCAGTTCCTCTTCATTCCAAATCTAAACACATTCTTCCTAGACACATTGTTTAAACATACTAAAGATGTATAGACTAACCTTGAAATGTCTTGCCCTTAGACTTCTCCTTTTAATCTCTTGTGACGCTAGACACAGTGTATACTGGAGAGGAAACCGCAGGGCTATCGCTGAAGAGGGAAGTTCCGGAACATTCAATGTCCTTGACTATGGCGCAAAAGGTGACGGGACAAGTGATGACACGAAGGTGAATGAGCATTTATATCATTATATGGTTTAGCCGAATACATTATGCAATAAACTCGCCCAAAGAAAAAAGATGTTGATGATCAATGTACCTTTTACTATTGCAGGCTTTTGAAGATGCTTGGAATGAAGCTTGTAAGGTGGCTGCATCAACATTATTAGTTCCGTCCGGTTCTACGTTCCTTGTTGGACCTGTCTCCTTCCTGGGAAAAGAGTGTAAAGAGAACATTGTGTTTCAGGTGAAGTTCCACGAAAATAATAAAACAAAAACAAAAAGAGATGTTATTCGAGCAACTTTAGTTATATAGTTATGTATTTGGACATTGTGCAGTTAGATGGAAAGATCATAGCACCAACAAGTTCGAGTGCCTGGGGATCAGGTCTATTGCAATGGATGGAATTCAAATCATTGACAGGAATCACTATAAAAGGAAAAGGGGTAATAGATGGACAAGGATCGGTCTGGTGGAACAAGTCCCCTGATTATGATCCAGTAGATGACAACGACATGGTAATACTAAATTCAATTTTCTTAGCTAAACACAATTGGGAAATTTTCTAGCATGCGATAACCTCTGCTTCTTGTACCAATCTTATTTGTTAAAGATTAAGGATCAAGAGAGCACAAAAATGCCAGGAACTAAACCAACAGTAAGTTTTCATTTGATTCGTCTCATGGATGGAGAGGCTACTTAACAATATGTGAAACTTAATCAATTACCTTGGCTGCTATGTAGGCTTTGAGATTCT